CAGCCGAAGGTTGTCACACTTTCTCTCCAGCTCTCTGGGCCTAATAACAAGCAGAACATGGTTTCATCAACTTGAGCTACATTTTCCTAAGTCAGTTAGGAAATCCCCTCATGCAGTGGCCTGCAAAAACAAATGCCGAATCAGAAAGAACAGGTTTTCACAGAGGTATGGACCCATTTGTAGCTCCTGTAAGCAAAAAGGCTTGGTTTGGGGAAATGAGAATTTGCTGGGTGAAGTGACCAGCGTGGGAAGCCGTCATTTAAAATAGCATCAATCCAGCCATAAAGTCATGCTTTAGAGTTTCTGTTCTCTCCCAAACAGTTTTGACGTCTGAGCTTAGGGGGAAGTTTCTCCTCCCGAAGATTCTAAACTCTTGTCTGATTTTTGTTAACATTAATTTCTGTGGGGAGGGTGGAGGTGGCAGGATCCCTGCACACCTACCTGGACCCTCCTGCCATCCAGCACCTTAAAAATAAGAGATGCCTGTGGGTGCCCCATAGCTTGTTTGGTTAATGCAATGGCTCATAACTAAAATGCCAGTTTAACCACCAGTTTGTTTTGCTGGTGTTTGGTTTATACATAAACATGAGTGGGAAGGGACCAACATTTTTTTTTTAAGTACACATTTTATTTTTATTACTGCTGCTTTGTTTTTTGTTTCAAAGAGATGGCATGGACTCAGGGTACAACAGCTGTACTCAGCCCAGCTGGAAGGCCCCCGATTTTAAACTTCTGTGTCTTAATAGGGGGTTGTGTGTTGAGCATTCAAGTGCTGTTAACTATCTCTATTTTATTTGCCCTACGGCTCCTGTGGAGCAGAATCCAAGACCACCTCCAACTAGGACACATGGGGAGGGTTGAGGCTAAGGAACTGGCAAAGGCAATTTAGACCATGACATCTCATGAGGAGCTGGGTTGCTACCCTCAGAGCTCATCTCACAGGTTCTTATTATCCTAGGGCACGTTAAAGTTTTATCTTTGTGTCCCTCCTGTCCCCCAACCAGCTCATAGATTACATCCACGAGGAATATAGTTTTGGTCTAGTCTGGCTCATTGTCTTAATATATTGTATCTATCAGAGGTGAAAATGGAGAAATCTGGGGCTATACTACACACATAATAGACAATAAGTACTGACTGGATCATGAAATGATTCAAAGGTGCATGGGCCGTCCCAAGGAAAAAAAACCACATTATTTCCCAAAGTCATCCAATCTTTCCTAAGAGATCAAACACACAGGCCTAACCATCAAAGTCTAACCCCCAAAGTGGGCCTCAAGTGGGTTTAGGGAGCATTGAATTCTCTCTGTTTTGTGTTCATTAATCTTTTTTCTAATGTAAACTCTTTTATCAATTAAAATCCAGAGTGTTTCTGAGGGACAGTGGTCGGTCATTCAGTGACAAAATATGGCTTAGGAGGAAAAATTTGAACCCAGATGAAATAACATAGTCACATTTCGAAGATTACTTTTTCCAAATGATCTCATCATTTCTCCTAGACAAGAGGGAATCGAGCCTGATGCCTCGTTCCTGTGATCCGAATGGGTTCCTACCGGGGATTCCGGCCTGAGCCACGCATAGTTTTTGACCATAGGTTGCATGTGTGGAGTTAGGGGGTGTTAATCCAAGATGCAGCATTTTAGGCAGAAGACAAAGCCGAGGCCAACTTTCCAAGTGAGTTGTTCATTTCAACGGGCTGGGAGGCCAGTGAAAAATCTGCACATGATAATGAGATGAAAACCAGTGAGATCAGGCTAGAGTGAAAGTCCAAAACAAAGAATGAGTGGCAAAGTTGAGAAACAGCCTGAATGGTGAGAAGGTAATGGCAGCAACTTTTTATGAAGTGGTAGTGGTTTTGGGTGTGGCCCCGGAGAGAGCCATTAAATGCCCGACTTGGTGTGAACACATCTTAAATTTGTTTCTAGGAAAAACAGATTGGAAAATCAATTAACTTAGAATTATGGAAAGATGAAAACAGTAACCAGGATCAAAAGAGCAAGGAAAATGAAAGAGAATACAGCTAGAAGGTGGCTCATCCCACTGGGATAAAAACATCTCATAGTATGCAAGTGATTTTGTAGGGGTAATTTCTAATCTTCTATCAGTGTGCATAGGTGTAAGGCATAACCCTGGGTTACTTGAAAGGAGTAGCAGTATAAGCAGTCTGAATGTAAGCTATTCAGTATTGGCCCTGGAGGGGAAAGACTTCAATTTTTATTTTATTTTTATAGAGTTTTCCTCTAAGTTACTAAGTGGGAACGGTACTCAAGATACTGAACACATGAGGCATAGACCTAACTGCTACTTGATCTAATGTACAGTGAGCAAGGATGCCTTGCAGGTGGGGCTCAGGAAGGTGTTGTTTCATGGTTGCATTTATTAGAAGTTTTTATATTTATAGTGTTTTATTCTTTCTGATATAGTTTATTAATTTTGAATTATCTTATGATAATTCGAAGTACTTTCCATATGAATCTAAATCTGTGCCTTACTAATGCATGTTTACTTAGATTTATTCTATGTAAGTTAATTTACATGTAAATTAAGAACTTTTTATCTAATTTCTGGTTAGAAAAGAAATATACATGCTCATTAAAAAAACTCCAAATAACACAAATGTGTATGAATTTAAAAGTTTTCACTAATTATCGTCACCCAAGATAATAATCGTTATGTTTAGTTCAGTAAATATTCATGGAGAACCTACTATGGGTCAGGCTCTGGGCCAAGTTATGAGGATAAAACAATGAACAGAACAGGTCACAGCTTCTGTCCTCGAGAAGTCACTGTTCAGAACTGATTTTCAACTGGGGATTCATATTGGAGTCATTTAGGAGGGTATTTAAAAATGCACATCCCTCTCTGAAATAAATAAACATATATATATATTTTTTAAAAAAATGCACATCAAGCTGAGAATGCTCAGCTCTAGAGAGCCAAGAACGACTAAGAGATCACTTTTCCTTTCTTTTTTTTTTTTAAAAAAATATTTCTTTATTGATTTCAGAGAAGAAGAAAAAGGAGAGGTAGAAACATCAATGATGAGTGAGAATCATCAATCGGCTGCCTCTCGCACACCACACACCAGGGATTGAGCCCGCAACCCAGGCATGTGCCCTTGGCTGGAATCAAACCTGGGACCCTTCAGTCTGCAGGCCGACGTTCTATCCACCAAGCCAAACCGGCCAGAGCCACTTTTCCTTTCTTATCAAATTTTACTTTCACAAGTGGCTTCTAGTACCCTGAAGAGTTTTGCAACTCTTATGCCTGTGATTGTTAAAAAGGCTTGGAGTGGCATTATTTTGCCTATGCAAATAGCAAGGAGTCAATGATAGTAACACCATTGATCTAGTGAGGGCATAATGAATGTCTCCATGTCTTGTTGTTCACATATGAGGACAGTAATGAGCAAGAGTGTTATATATAGGAAGAAATGTTAGTAAAGATATACATACATTAAAGTGATTAATAATTTTAATAAACTACTATGAATATTTTACCTATTCATTGGGTTATATAGTAATCTCTTTAAAGAGTAAATTATTCATCATTACCAGAGAGTATTAACTTTGTAAAACTACTATTTACTGTTCTTATAAGTAATCACCTATTCCATGGTCGCCAAACTGTGGCTCACGAGCCACATGCAGCTCTTTGGCCCCTTGAGTGTGGCTCTTCCTAAGCCTTAGGAGTACCCTAATTAAGTTAATAACAATGTACCTACCTATATAGTTTAAGTTTAAAAAATTTGGCTCTCAAAAGAAATTTCAATCGTTGTACTGTTGATATTTGGCTCTGTTGACTAAGGAGTTTGCCGACCACTGACCTATGTATAATATTACTGAACAGTTGGATCATTTACTATGCTACTTTGGGCTCTCATTCATTCATTATCAAACATTATTTTGCATGCATCCGATGCCAGGTACTATACTAATTGCTGAAGAAACAGATGTACTTCCTGCCCCCCAGAGCTTATGGTCTAGCAGCAAATAGACAATTAAACGAAGTCTAATGGTGAAAAATGATGAAAGGACAAGGTGCCATGAAGACATTTAGGAGGAGTGTCGTCTGGTCTAGTATGGTGGGCAGAGAACATCTATCAGGAAATACCTTTTAAGAGGAGGGTGGGATATAGGAAACAGAGTGTTCCACTCGGAGAGGAAACAGCCTGCTTGAAGGCTCACAAGCAAGCAGTAGCTTGATGTGTGTATGAGAAACAACCAAATATACGCGTTCTATAGGACTGGACCATAGAGTGTGAAGTAAGGGCCTTATCCAGGAGTGCCTGAATGGGCTGTTACAGATTCTCACTTTTAGCTTAAGGAAAATAGGAAACTATTGAAGCGTTTCTAACAGCAGAGTGATTTACTCATGTTTATGTTCTTGAAAGTTCTTTGACTGCAGGGAGAGATGCTAATCCTGATAGGAGACCAGTTACATGTATTGTTGCAGTAATTGAGATGAGAGATGCTGGTTGCCTACACCAGTCATCAGCAAGCTAGCTGTAGCCTGTGGGTTGGATCTACCCGCACCCGTTCATTTACTTACGTAGTTCCGTGGTTGCTTTTGCACTACAATAGTGGAGTGGAGTAGTCGTGATAGGACTGTTTGACCCATAAAGCCTCAAATATTTGCTATTTCACCCTTTACAGAAAGAATTTGACACCTAGACTAGCCAAAGGTGGCAGTGGGGAGAGACCATAGAAATGAGCACTCATATGTGGAATATAATGATCAACATAATTTGATGAACAAGAATAGATCCAGAGACAAATGGCAGGGGAGAGGGGGGTTAGAGAGCAACCAAGGGACTTGTATGCATGCGTATTAGCATAACCAATGGACACAGACACGGGCGGTGGGGGCTTGCCCGGGGTGGGAATGTGGGGTGGGGGGTCAATTAGGGGAAAAGGAGACATATATAAAACTTAAGATAATAATAATAAAAGGAAATGAGAACTATTTAGTTGGCATACTCAGCAGAAGTTGATGATCAGTTGGGTGTGGCTTGCGAAGCTGGGTGGATGAGAGTGCCACTCTCTGCGGCTGGTATTGTGGAACTGGAGTGGTGTGTCTGTGTGTCTATCTGTGTGTGTATATGTTTGTGTGTGGCAGCTTCGTCTTTATGAGGAAAGTTGCACTTTGGCTGAACAATGGCTTTGGTGAGCGCTAATGTGTGACTATTTTTATCACCCCAAGCACATGGAGGTCGTTTTCAATATTTCTTCATAATTTCAGGAAGTCTGAGTTGTATTTTCCGTATTTATTAAGTAAGGTACATAGAAGTAAGAGGTTTTTGATTCGCTGTATATATGCTCGGTCTCAATATGTGCTCTGTCTAGCATGCTTCCTATTTAATCCCAGAGGTCTAGTTAGGGGAACAGGGCATTTAAGTGAAATTGAAGTTCTGTTTCTCTATCTCCTTCTCTGAAACCAACTGAGAGATGGTTTCCTGTGTTGGGAAGGATCTCACTGTCCGACTTGGTGATTTATGATTTTGTTAGATGCATCTGTTTATTTTGCTTGCAGCCAATTCATGTTGGTTTTAAAGAAATATAAGTACTGCAAGAGAGGAAACATTGAGAAGACAGAGGAAGGACAACTTTGGGATATGGGAAGGGCGAGAAGAATTTAGGAAAAGAGAAGCTATCTGGATCTGTGGGTAGAAAAAGGCTGCTCCAAATACAAAGACCAGGAAGGTAAAGAAATAAGAGGAGAAGGAGTGGAGGGAAAAGTTTTGCAAAACCTTGTTGAACCAGGCCTGAATCCAGTCCAAATTGACCCCTGATCTCATCCAAGTACTGTCCAGCCCCTTTACAGTTTGTAAGATGTGATGGAACCACAGGCCAAAGTGGTGTGGCCAGAGGCCATGAGCCTGGGGGAAGCATCTTGCCAGTGGGGTGATGTGGGAAGGCAGAGTGGGGAGCTGGCCAAACGCTGGTCGCTAATGCTATGTAATGAAGGCTAAGTGACAGACGGATATCCACTTAACTGCTGATTCCATCTCTCCACACCCTGTTATCATCATTTGACTGCTTTGCAGAAGGTATATTTTGCCAGAAAATATGTTTTAGGTTACTTGATTTTTTTTTTTTTTGGTTCTCAGTCATGAAACAACTTCCCTTTTCCCCTTGTTGATGTCAAGGTGAAAGCTTGAGATGGTGCCATTCTGGAGCCGTTCATCTTGTCATCCCCAGAGGTTTCAGAGGGCCTTCTGGGAAACTGCCAAGAGGGGATATTGACTCTAAAGGCAAGGAGGCAGTGCCCACACCAGGAGCCATCTGAAGCCTGAGTGGCTTTTGTGGAGTGTGTGTGTGTGTGACATTGCAGAGGGCCTGGGCTCCAATGCCTTATCTCTATGATCACTTGTCTATGCTTGTGGGTAAGCTAATGTTGCACTTGTTCCAATTAGTTTGGCTTCTGTATCTTTGCTTGTGGGAGCTCAGTGAATCCTCAGCCATTAGGGTTTGAGATTAGAGGGTTCTGAGGAATACAGGAAGCAATTGGTAGCTAAGAGGCTAAAAATTTAGAAATAAACCCTTTCTCATGAAGTCTTACTCTTTTAGAAGTAAAAATTCCTCTTCAAAAACAAAACAGACCCCCCCCCCCAATTTTGGTTATTTTTTCCTTATTTATGCCCTTTTAAACATTAACAACTTTGTCTTATCCCTATAAATACAACCCAAATTAGAGAGGACTCTGGAAGTCGAGAGCAAGGATATCATATATAGTCCTGAGGCAATTGCAAATAATATGTAGGAAGAAACAGAAACAAAAATGCTCCCAGAGTGGGAGCCTGGATGAATGGTGGGTGTCCTGAGTGCCCGCAGCCTTATTTGCCATCACCATGAAAACTCCCATTTCAGTGAGAAGGGCAAATGTGAAGGCAAATGACTGAGATATTTTTCTAATAAACTTCATTTGCCGGCCACCTTGTACCCTTCATTCTTTCTTTGCTCATCCTTCTGTTCCACTGTCTCCTCTTTCTTCTTTCATGTTTATTGAGTATCTACGATGGGTCCAACCTACATACAGGGAATACAGCTATGAATCAAGTAGACATGCCTTTATGGAATTCACCAGTACAATTCTGGAATTTTTTTCCTTGTGTTCTTAATCTTCAAAAATGCCCTGTAGCCCTAACCGGTTTGGCTCAGTGGATGGAATGTCGGCCTGCTAACTGAAAGATCCCAGGTTCGATTCCAGTCAAGGGCATGTACCTTGGTTGCGGGCACATCCACAATAGGAGGTGTGCAAGAGGCAGCTTATTGATGCTTCTCTCTCATTGATGTTTCTGACTCTTTCCATCTCCCTTCCTCTCTGTAAAAAATCAATAAAATATATATTTTAGAAAATGCCCTGTATATTATGTCTCTTAATAAAATTACCAGTTCTTTGAGAATTACTATATTTGCATGTGTTCAGAGTGTATCCAAAATAAGTGTTACAAAAAGTCAATAACTGCCATAATAATGTGGATACGTCTCATAATATACAAACTTGAGCTCAATGGAAAGTTCATGATAAGTATAAATTCCTATCATGTCTGGTCAAAAAAAATTTCTTATTTACTATTTTACTCTAAAATGACATCATTTTCAGGGGAGATGCTTTGATTAGTTTCCCAAATCCGTGAAGGACTGTCTAAGGAGTTCTGTGTGTCAAGGTTGGTCTTCCAGGGGTTCTAGCTGCAAAGGTCATTACCCCGAGGGGGGCTTTCCAAGAAGAGTCCTCCATCTTGGAGAAAGGAAAGCATAATTTTTGGGCGACACCCTGTCTATTTTAAATCATTGGAGAGGGGAAAAATATTTGTCTCCAAGACTGTAATTTTCCAGATGACGCCATATTGTTGCACAGTTGCCATACCATGAGAAAGAGCATTCTTGTGGTTTCTGCACTGGAAATCCTGTAGGAATGCTATTTCTGGCATCTTTTCAGAATGAAGCCAGGCAAGTATGGGGAACAGACAAGCCAACCAGATAGAGCCTGTGGTCTCTTGGCATGTTAGAAAAGTCCCTTCAACACGGCATTTTTTAAAAATAGGACTTCTCAGTGTATGAGGTGCTGAGTGGGATGGATGATGAGGACTAGGGGGTGGAAATATTAGTCCAGCTCAAATCCGGACTTTCATGTGACTATTCTCTCATAAAAATAATTTTGAAGCTCCAATTTTGTCTTTTAGTACACATGAGTATCTCTTTTCAAAATTAAATTTTGATAGCCAAGGAATTTTTTCTTATGTTTGCATTCTAATAAAAATAGAAGAGACTTAGATAGGGGGATGGATATTCAATATAGTTTTCCAGCTGGGATTTGGCTCCTGGGGAAACCTACTTTCTGAATCTGGGCTGAATGTCATGCATAGATCAGAAATGATTTGGTTAAAAACAATTGTACATAATTCTTTTTTTTTTGAAATAGGAAAGTCATAATAATTTAAAAAACTATGGCAACATTTGGTCAGATAACATTTTTTTCTCTTTAACTTAGAAAGTTACCTTACCACACCACCTTTAAATAACACCTTTTAGAAATACTTCCAGATTGTGTTCAGTCTTTTTCCTCTGAGATGAAGATATTGATAAAGAAGGTACAATACTCTTTTATTTAACCCCTGAGTTTTTAAAATATATTTTATTGATTTTTTTTACAGAGAGGAAGGGAGAGGGATAGAGTCAGAAATATTGATGAGAGAGAAACATCAACTTGCTGCCTCCTGCACACCCCCCACTGGGGATGTGCCCACAACCAAGGTACATGCCCCTGACCAGAATCAAACCTGGGATCTCTCAGTCCGCAGGCCGACGCTCTATCCACTGAGCCAAACAGGTTCGGGCTGAGTTTTATTTTTTAAAGTAATTATTTATTGTTGAAAGTATTACATATGTCCCCCTTTGACCCCCTCCAGCTCGCTCCTGCTCCCCCCCCCCTTTCCCAGGCCTTTACTACCCTATTGTCTGAGTCCATGGGTTATGCATATATGCATACAAGTCTTTGGTTAATTACCCCCCTCACTCCCCTGGCACCATCACCACCAAGAAGGCACAATACTCTTAAAAGCCTGTTTAACACCTAAGTATGGAAATTATTTTGAGGGAAATACTATTAGAATTAGAAGATATTTCCTGGGCATTTCTGATAACCAAGTGTGGAATTAAATTGATCTAATACAGTAACTGAATTCATATGAATTAAATCTCATTCATAGCAGTCTGTATGTTTTTTTTGCCAAGTGTTCTTCAATACAACTTCTCTCTGTGTCTCTCCACCTATACATCTCTTTTTCTCTCTCTTTCCTTTCTCTGCTCCTCCCCTCACCTCCCTTGATGGTGACTCAGTAGCAGAAACATAGGAACAGCCTAAGCCCAGGCCTTAAGCTTGCTCTTCTTTCCTGCTCTGCGCTGCTGTTGGTAGGTTGGGGAGGTAATAAGCTTGGCCCCAAGGGGAGGGTGTGGAGAGACCATACGGTTTCTCTGGCAGTTATTGGGAGCAGTGTTGACAGGCTTGGGAGAAAGCCGAGGTCTGTCTCCCGTGCCAGCAGAAGGACCGCAGTGACTGACGCAGAGCTCTGGACAGAGGATTGGAGAGGCCCATGGCTCTGGAAGGTCTGGGTTTAATGCCTCCTAAAACTATTCAAGAAGAACCTTTAAATGGAAAAATCCTTCTTTGTACTAGAAAGGGTGCTTTCTGTCGTTAAGGCTCTACTTTGCAAATAAGAAAACTGTTAATTGCTTTTATTAGTATAATTAATGTAACGAAGGAATTTTTAATGCTAGACTAGGAAGGGATCCTTTCTTGAATCAGAACTTCTATTATACTGGAAGAGAGAGGATGGACACAGCTAGATCCTAGTTGCCATTTGAAAAACATGGACTTCTAAGAGGTAGAAAATATTTCTGAAAGTTTCTATCTGTACAGGAAGAAGGATGGCAAGTTAAGAAGTAAAGGTTGGGGACGTGGAGCTTGGGGCTGTACTTTCTGGTTTTCATGAGTAAATTAAGAAAGCAATAACTGTTTATTTATTAATATATTTTTATTGATTTCAGAGAGGAAGGGAGAGGGAGAGAGAGATAGAAGCATCAGTGGTGAGAGAGAATCATTCACTGGCTGCCTCCTGCACGCCTCGTACTGGAGATCTAGTCTGCAACCTGGGTATGTGCCCTTGACTGGAATCAAACTCAGGACCCTTCAGTCTGTAGGCCGATGCTCTATCCACTGAGCCAAAATGGCTAGGGTGCAACGACTGTTTTTGAGAAATAATTAGTGACTGTGCATATATAAGAAGTGGGATCCTCCAGCTAAGTTCTACCCTGAGGCTCTTAGGTAGCTACTGGTCAGCTACATGATATTGGAGAAGAGTCTGTCAGCTGCCAAGTTTCCTCCCAGAAGAAAGTGGCTCTTAGGGTGTCCCTAAGCAAAAGTATGTTAGAAAATTATCCTTTGGTGATGCTCTGATGCCATGACCTGGTTCCTGGGACTACAGGGAGCCAGTGGGAAGAAGAGGTGGTAAGGGGATTTTGGATGGGAAAATTTTCATCCCCTCAAGGGCCAAGCAGGGTCACACGCCATAATCCATTCAATCAGATAATGTTTTTTTCCATCCTATTTTCACTATATCCCTTATCCTGCCTGTTCCGCTTCTCTCTTGGGTTATTATAAACCTGGAAGGCAGATGCTCACAGAAACCTGAGAGAGAGGCAGCCAGGGACGAGGCAGAGGTTACTGTGTTTAGAATCCTGGTCAGATTCCTTCAAGCCTCTGCCTGATTTTCTTTTGGGTTGGCCTGTTTCCTTTAATATCCTGGACAATATAATTATTTGCATGGCTGGTCAGAAAGAAATGGCAGACTTCAATAAAAGTACCACTTCAATTAGAGTCACAGAAAGAAATAAGAGACTATCACAATTACAAGTCGTCTATTTGCCAGCGGGGCCAGGACAGAGTGCTATCTCCGCCGGTTGGCCATCCGGAGAGTATTCAAGGATTAACAAGAAGAGTTAGTGAGAAGATCCTGTGGTCACATAGGAATTTGCTACATATCTTGTGGGCTTCTCTGGAGCTAGATTTGTTTTAGGGGAAAAAGTGAGACTGGATTAGTGCCACTTGCGGAATCTTGATACCTTGATCTCAGCTACATCTACAGGCTTGAATTTAAACCTATGTCGGATTGGACGGTGCTTCTGATGACAGCTTGACCAAAATATTATGAAAAAGTGGAAGAAAAAGTACAACTTAATGATAGAGAATTAGCCTCTGCATTTCTGGTTCACCTCTCAGAATGGAAAAACCAAGTACAATAGTTAATCGTCTTTTTGCAGCTTGTGGGAGCAAACTTGTAAATACAGTTTTTCTCATCGCAGTTCTTGATGTAAAGATTTAAGAAGTTATCTTCAGAAAATGCAGCTAAAACTGTATGTACCCCAGATAGTTTTTGATTCCTAGAAGCATTAACGTTATCTTGGAATGTATCACTTTTTTTTTTTTTTGAAACTGCTAAGTAACCTTCCAGGAAAGAGCCATCTCTTTCTGGGAAGGCCTTGTGCTGCCTAATGTGGCTCTTGACAAGGGTAGATCAATCTATTAAGATTTAATAATTTTTGCTCATTTAACAAGTTGGGAAAAACAAAAAAATGGCCCATTATGGAGAGTTTTCACTATGACAGATGGTGAGAGGTATAAAGAAGTCCCCTTTTGCACCCATGCACTGATTCTCTCCTTGTGGGGCTGCTATGTTTGTTTCCAAACAAAACAATTTGATTCATTTTCTTAATTAAGTTGAAAAAAAGAGAGAAAAAACTCCAACATTTAAAAAGTCAGCTTCCTCATGTGACTTTTCACAAGCTGAAGAGTATATGCGGATTTAATTATAAGGGGCTGGGGGAAAAAATCTTTCTTCTTTCTGTTTTGGTGCAATTAAGTACCTGTCACACTCAGGCAACCCTTAATTTTTCTTGAGTGAAAACAGTTGATGAACTTAAAACTAATCCTGCCCCTAGGCTTTCTTGATGAAAGCCCTGTAATTAGAAATAGGGTTTCATCTAAACTTAAAAAGGTTCTTTTTTTCGTTTCCCTTTTTTTTTTTCCTGGATACATTTTTACTTTGACAAAATCTGTTAAATTTTGTATTTAGTGTTGGGTAGGATAACATCAATTTTAACCAGCACCAAAGAGCAGGCCTGTGTGGAGCTGTGACTGGAGGATGGGAGGGGATGCATATTAATAGTTAGCGGTTGTTATCCATGACCTCGCTGTTCCAAGTGTGGTCCAGGGACCAGCAGCATGGGCCTCCCTTTGGAGCTTGTTAGAAAAGCAAAACAGGTCCTGCCCCACACCCCGCTGTAAATGGTGAAGAACCCTGGATGCCTAGAATGCACATTAATGCATAAGAAACACTGGTTGGCAATGCCGACTGGTTTGTCGTGGAAAAAGGGGAACTTTCAAGTAAATAATAAACTGACTCTGTTCTTAGGGGAAGGAAAGCTTATAGTAAGTTAAAGAACAGTTTTATTTATTGGATCTTAAAATCTAGGCAACTAGTGTTGCCAGAAGAATTGTTTGAAGCTTGCTTCTGCTTCCAGGGATTTCCCATGAGAAACGGCTTTGCCTTAGATTCTGGACTCTCTTTTACCGTTTCCTGATGTGGACAGGGAGTGAAATCTGTAGTCCGCAGGGCAGACCTGGCTCTTCATTATTCTCACAGGAAGTGTAATTTCCATGCAAGAGTCATTGACTGAAAGTAGTTGCTCAGTAAGTATTTATGAATGAATCATGAATACATTCAGGTCATAGCTAATTTGTCATTTATATATCTCCTTTGGAGACATGTCTATTCAAGTCCTTTGTCCATTTAAAAAAAATATATTTTAGTGATTTTCTTACAGAGAGGAAGGGAGAGGGATAGAGAGTTAGAAACATCGATGAGAGAGAAACATCAATCAGCTGCCTCCTGCACACCCCCTACTGGGGATGTGCCTGCAACCAAGGTACATGCCCTTGACTGGAATCAAACCTGGGACCCTTCAGTCTGCAGGCCATGCTCTATCCCAGTGATGGTGAACCTTTTGAGCTTGGCGTGTCAAAATTTTGAAAAACCCTAACTTAACTCTGGTGCCATGTCACATATAGAAATAGTCATAATTTTTTTTGATATTTGCAACCATAGTAAAAAAAAGATTTATATTTTTGATATTTATTTTATATATTTAAATGCCATTTAACAAAGAAAAAACAACCAAAAATATGTATAAAATGAACAAAAACAGAAAAACAACGTATATTTAGGTAAAAAAATAATAAAAACAATGATAATCAAATGGTACGAAAACTAGAAATTAGTGACTTTTTTGGTGCTGAAGTTTGTCTGCTAGTTCTTTGATTGCAGGTTCATACTTAGTGCACTTCAAGGCTAAGCAAGTGCCACTAACTTCATCTGTTATTCAGTTTCTTTTGTTCGTTTTAATATTATTTAATGCTGAGAACAAAGTCTCACAAAAATATGTTGATGAAAAAATTGTTAGCAAAGCCATCACTGGATTTTTTATGTCGCTAAAAGTGACAGGTACTCTCTTCCAAGCACTCAAAATTTCTTGTTCATAGTTGCACTCTTCTTCATTATTCAGACGATTTTGTTCCAGATTTTCAAGTTTCGACCTTAAGTCGACAAACACATGAATCCAAATGCTACCTTGAAAATCTGCAAGTTGCATCTCTAAATTGTCAATTTGCATCCATTAGAAATCCTTTAATTCCAAAGTACTGTAAACAACTACATCCAGATATTTAATTATTTTAATGGTCTGTTCTAGGCTTCTAAAATGGTTGAATCTTTCGCTGAACTGTTCAAATAATGAGTTTACTATATTCTGGTACATAAGTATGGACTCCATTACACTCGTAGTGGCCGTCTCGAAATACTTTTTTATCAGAGGAAAATACTTATAAGTTTTAGTCTC